CCGCCCCCGCCCCCCTCCGCCCGCGGGGCCCGCCTGCTGGTGCAGCCCGCGCGGCGCCGACCGCGGCCATGCGGCCCTCCGGCGCAACCACATCATCATCGGCAAGGGCCTGTCCCGGGGGGCCGAGCAGGCGCCTGCCCTGGTATACACCCGGCCGTGCAAGCTGCTCACCCTTGAGTACAAGGTGTCCACGAGCCCGCCGGGACCGCTGCCGGACCTGGACCCCCGGCAGCTGGAACACCTGCTCCTCCGGGCCCTCCCCCGGTCCTGGCTGACCCAAGCATACACGGTAGGCCTTGCCATCTCTTTGCTGCCCCTTTGCCACACCTTCGACACGACCATGCGCCCGTGCACAGACACGCCCACACGCGCGCCCACGCCCACGCCCACACGCGCGCCCACGCCCACGCCCACACGCGCGCCCACGCCCACACCCACACCCACACACACACGAGCGAGTGTGCCTGCAGCCTCTGACACGCACGCATGCCGGCTGGCAGACCCACTCCACCATGCTGGGCCCCTCGTGCCAGCTGAACTTCACTCTCACCCGGCAGCTGGCGGCCGACATCAGGCGCGATGTCCGTGCCGGGTTTTGGGTGCCCGGCCTGACGCAGGCCTCCTTCCAGACGCTGGACAGCATGTCGGCCCCCCTGCCGCGGGCATACTCGCTGGTCCTCCGGTCCGGGCCGCTGATGCTCTCGCTGCGGGTGGAGTTTGTCCCGGGCCCGACGCTCCTGTACCCGGGGCTGTCGCTGCCGCGCGGGGCCTTCCGCTCGCTGTGCGAGGCCCTCGGCCCGGCCGGCCACACGCGGGATCACCTCTTCTTCGAGTGCGCCGGCCGGGGCTTCGTGGCCCGGCGCGCCGATACCCACACCGCCCCCGGGGTGGTGCGCCTGACCGGGGACTTCCGCGACCACCTCTACCCCCGGGAGAGGCCCGTCCTGTCCATGCCGCATGCCCATCAGGTGGACCTCCGCCTGAGCGCGGTGCACATGCGGCTCATGCCGGGCCTCGGCGCCGGGCCCCCGCCCGCAGGCCCGGGCCTCGGCCTGCTGGACCTGCCGGCGGCCCTGCAGGCGGCCTTCCCCGGCGGCAGCATGGCCCTCCTGGAGCGCCGGCCCATCCCCGGCGCCGAGGCCATCCTCATGCCGGAGCTGCTGCTCGACGCCGACGGCCGGGCCACCCCGTGCGGGCTCTTCGAGCCCGGCAAGACCGAGGTCCATCTCCGCCGCATGGGGGCGCCCCGGGCGCCGGCCCTGGCCGATGGCGCGGGGCCGCCCCCGGGCCCGGGCCCCCACCAGCCAGCACCCTAATACATCCCCCCGCCGGTGCTGCGTGTCTGTGTCGAGCCCCCATGTCCGGTCGCGCGCGCGCGCGCGTGTGTGTATGTGTGTGTGTGTGTGTGTGTCGCACACACTGTGCGCCGATGGCAGCATGCCGGCGCCTTTGCCCGCGCGTGCATGTGCCAGGCGGGAAGGGGGGGACGCATGCCGGGACGCGCGCGCCGGCACGGCTGCACATGCCCACGGACCCTGGTTCGTGCGGCCCCGCGCGTTTCATCCTCCGGGTGCCCGCATTTTTGACATCCGCGCGCTCGACCAGAACCGCCCGGCAGGATGGCCCGCCCTGCGCCGGACAACTGAAAGGGTTCGGCAAAAGGCGTGATTGAGGAGAACAAAGAATTGTATTAAGTCGAGGTTCCTCCGAAAGTGCCTCGCCCTTTACATGATGCTTACACAGTCGGACCATTTGTACCAAGTTGATACCCCGGCATCCGCGTGGGCAAAGTGCGGCCCTCAGATGGGTCACGTGCACGGACGCGGGGGTTTCGGGCAGGGCTCGTTACAACAACGCTGCAGACCACGTGCACTTCGCGGCGCGGGGCGCATTCCTCCGCGCGATCTCGCCAGCCGGGCAAAGCGAGGCCCGCCCGCCGCCGCGCGCGCGCCACATAGTCGCGTGCGACAATCAGCCGCTCCCCGGCGCCGGACCGGGCATGCTCCCCGTCCTGGACGCGCGATGTCCCGGCATCCAAGGGGGCTCCCGCCCCGGCGGCGGCTTGCGCGTTTCACCGGCCGATGCCACCTCGACCATATGGGTCCAGCCGGGCAGCGGGCACCCGGCAAGGGGAGGGGCGGGGAGGCGGACCCGAGGCCACCGCGCTCACCCGGGCCCGCCGGCATCGCCCCCCTCCGGGGGCGTGCCTTCCCCGGCGGGGGCCCGGCTCCTCCTGGCGAGTGGCTCCCGGGCTGCGACGGACGGTGCTCCTGCCGGAGGTGGGCACCTTTTCCGCGCGGCCGAGGTGCGTTATCGGCGCTGGCGCACGGACTCGCCGGGCGTGGTGGACCTGCGCCTGCGACGGAGGCGAGCCCATTTGCGCCGAGCCGACGGGGCCCGGCCGAGCCTGCTGCCGGCCGCCGCCGATCACCATGCGCCCCTCGCTCTGGAGGGCTGGCCTCCTCGACCGACTGCGAGGGGCGCCCCTCACAGCCGGGTCTCCGTCATGGCGTGAGGCCGGCAGCCCGGCGGCCTGCGCGCCGACGGCCTGGCAGCCAGGACTCCCTGCCCCCACCCGGCTCGCCGATGCAGGCGTGTCGAGCACTGCTCCCCGTCTCGCCCTTCCCAGCTGACGGATGCTGGCTGCTCGGTGCCCCAGCATGTGTGCATATGTATATGTCCGGGGCAAAGGCCCGCCGAACAAATCAAACTCGGCTGCTGGCCGCGCTCGTCGGGCCGCCGCCGCTTCCTCCCGGACCGGGCGCCCGGCAGGGGCCCCTGTTGGCTCGATCGGTGCCCGGCGTGCTGGCGGCCGCGCCCATGTCCGGGCGGTACGTCTGGCGGGCCGGGGAAACTGTGCCACGGGGCGGCCCGGTGGCCGGCCCGGGCGGCCGCCCTTGCTGCCCTGCTCGAGGGCGCGGTGCTGGCCGCCGGGGTCGGGCCGGAGTGCACACGGCCGTTGTATGCCCCCGGCCCTCCGGCGCGCGCTGGCCCGGCGGCCAGCGGGGCCCGCCGCCCGGCCACCCGCCTCTCTGTCTTGGCCTCTTCCGCAGGGTGTCCCCCTCGCAGCCGGGGCGTTCGGCGCGCCGGTGGCCCGGGCGCGGCCCGGCCAACGCAGCGACCCGGGCCACGGCTGCTGTTGGCACCACCTGTGCCAGGGCCCCTCGCCGGCCCCCGATGCGGGGGGCGGTCCCCGGCCGTGCGCCGGGCCGCGGACCAGCAGGGGGGATGGACAAAAACAAAACAAGCCCCCGCCACCAGATGCCACCGCATCGCCGGGCCGGCCGCCCCCCCCGACCGCGGCCCGGGGAATGGGCGGGGGGCCCTGGGCCGGTGGTCGGCTTTTGTTGCGGCGGGGGCCGCCCCCCCCCCCCCCCCCGCCACGGCCGCACCCGACGGCGGTCCCCCGCCACGGCCGGCGTCGGCCGTATTTCGGCCGGCGGCCGCGAGGGGCGCGCCCGGCCGGGGTCCCATCGCGTCCGTCAGAGACCACGGTCCCCTGCACGGCCCTGCTTCCCCTCCGCTCCGTGCCGTCCCCCGCCCCCCTCCCCGCGCCATGACCGAGATGACGCCCGGCGGTGCCGCCGGCCGGTCCCTGCGAGTGCTCCGCCTCGACGACGGCACCGAGCTGCCCGTGTGGCCGGGCGGCGGCGGCGGCGGCGCCGCCCCGCACCCGGGCGAGCTGCTGCTCGGGCCGGATGTCTTCGCCAAGCTGGCCGCCGGGCGGCCGCTGTGCATCGCACTTGGGCACCTGCTCCTGGAAGCGCGGTGCGTGCCCTCTGCTCAGACCCCAGGGCCCGGCCCTTTGCGCTTGTTGGCCCTGACTCACGCGGTGGTGCGGTGCCAGGCCCGACCCCCGGGCCGCGGGCGGGTGCCTTCTTCCCGAGGAGGCGGCCGGCCTCCCGAGCAACAAGGGCCTGCTCGAGGCGCGGCGCGTCCTGCCGGCCAAGCTGCAGGCCATCGGCCTTTGCGTGTCGGCCGCGCGGCCAGGCTGCCCGGCCGCGGGGCAGCCGCCCCGGGTCCCCTTCGCGGCGCTGGAGGCCGCGGCCGCCGCGGCCCTTGCCGCGCCCGGGGCACAGCTCATGCGCATGGCCCAGGTACGCGGCAAGCCCATTCCCCTTGGCCGCCTGTGCCTGGCTCGCCCCCCTTGCGGGGCTCTGCAGCATGGCTCTGACCCGGCGTAGACCCTTTGCCTGGTGGCCGGCGGTGTGGAGCTGGCGCTGGAGGTGGTGGAGCTCCGTGCGCCGGCGGGCGCCGTCGGCCATGGGCTCCTTTCGGCCGACACCCAGGTGGTCCTGGTCGCCAAGCCGGGCGGGCGCGTGCGCCTGCACGGCGGCCCGGTGGTCGTGGGGGTCACCCCGCCGGGGGCCCCCTCCCATGGGGTGGCCCTGCCGCTGGGGCAGCTCTACCCGGTGGACATGGTCCACCTTCCGGCCACCAGCCTCGATGTGCTGCTGGCGCCGGCCGACGGCCCGGTGGCCCGGGCCCTGTGCGCCGGGTGGGCCCGGCACCCGAACGGCAGCTTCTATGCGGCGCACGATGGCCGGACACTCCAGATCCGGTGCGCTGATCGGACTGCATCTCGCTGTCATTTTGACCTTGAACTGACGTGTGTGTGTGTGTGTGTGTGTGTGTGTGTGTGTGTGTGTGTGTGTGTGTGTGTGTGTGTGTGTGTACATGTGTGTATTTGTGTACATGTGTGTATTTGTGTACATGTGTGTGTTTGTGTACATGTGCATGTGCATGTATGCCTGCGTCTGCGTCTGCGCCTGCATCTACGTGTACATATGCATTTTCACGTACATATGTGCATCTACATATGTGCATCTACATATGTGCATCTACATATGTGCACGTACATGTACGCGTGGATGCCCAGCATCTGCACGCGGCCGGTCCTGCCGGGGACCGCCCTCCGAGCCGGCGAGCGCCTGCTTTTGTCGCTCAACACCCGGGGACAGCCCCTGCTGCTGGGCCCCGGCGACGCGCCCCGGGACCTGGCCGTTGTCTGCCTCGACAGTGACCTGGCCGACGATGGGCTTGACCGGCCCGGCATGCTGGCCATGCTGGCCGGGGCCCCGCTGCGCCGGGGCGATGTATGCCGCCTCTTGCCCGCCCGTCCTTTCTTCCCCCCCCCCCCCCCCCCCCCCCCCCCCCCCCCCCCCCCCCCCCCCCCCCCCCCCCCCCCCCCCCCCCC